TATAAGCATTATATGGCACGAATGTTTGCGTCATCACACATTCCGCCAATCGCAACAAGATAATTGAAGAGGATACAGGTAAACGGAACAGCCGACCACCGGTTTCTCGCACAGATGTCAAATACCCAAGAAGTCACAAGAAAGTTGTTTTGAAAATTTAAGTTTGATTGTCTTATAAATTTATAATGCTCTTCTTCAAAAAATAACGTGGGCAACAGTAATTGTTTGTAATATTGATTTATTGCATTCGTGCAAACATTCCAAACGTAATCATGAAATGCAGCTTAACATTATAAATAAATAGCAAAATCTATTATAATATATTATCTGTGTTTATAGACCTAAATAATTGTTATGATTGAAAGGAATGTAGAAAAAAATGTTTAACTATAAAGCGGGCCAAAACTCACGTTTCCTCGGTAGACCATGAGTATTTAGCATACGAATGAAATTTTAATGGGCAAGGCGATGACAGGAACCCGAACTGGCATTTTGAAATGAATACGTAAAAGTCACTCGTATGAGTTACATACATTACTTTTCTGAGTTGCTACATTAGTTTCCATCCAAGAGCGCTGAAAAGTGTTTTGTTTTATTTTCTCTCTTCAAAAATCCCGACAGTCTACAAGCAATATTAGCGTACAAATCGTCTACAAGATTTTTGCCGACGTGAATATTCACCTATCAACGAAGCCGATCTCAAGGACATACGAATTTATTAAGGCACTTAATTTTTTAGGCATCATTTAAAAGAAAGCATTAGTACACTTTCAACATTTCCTAAAACGAGGTACAATTAAGCGTCTAAAAAACAAGATGGATAGATGAAACTAATTTTTCATATACCTAAAATGTAAAGTGTAAAAAAAGTGAACAGGAAAATAAAGGAAAAGAGACCGAGGAACAGGAGACATAAATGATGGGATGTAGAATGTAGAAGGAAAAAAAAGTGTATTAAGGAGTTTATATAGAAATAGACAAGAGGAGAGAATAGTAAACACGTCATAAGCAGAGGAAAGAAGGAAACAAAATGTTATATAGTTGGGAAAATGAAGAAAAAATATAAACTCGATGAGGGAAGTTCAAATGTATACGTAAGCTTCCGCGGCTCCAATCCGACGCGGCGTCTCCCGGATAGCCGAGAATTCGAAGTTCAAGGAATGACACGAGAAGAGCATTTTGCAAGGAGCTAAAATAATAAAGAGAAGATGAGAAGAAATACAAAGAGAGAAATACAAAAATAGAAGAATTAATGTATTATGAAAGTGGGTGAGAAGATAAAAACGGATTTAAAAGAAAAAAACGAGGACGTAATGGGAAGTTGAGATGGAAGAGACAGAAAAGGTAGCAGAGAAAATGAAAGAAAACAAAGTAAGAGAGATAGATTATTTAGGGAATGAAATATGGATATTTGGTGGAGAAGCAGGAAATGTGGTTGTAAAGAAATAGGAAAATAAGGTAAAGAGAAGAAAGGGATTCTCAGAACAATGGAGAAAAAGGATAACTGTCCCAATTTATAATAAAGACAATGAAGACTGCTGAGACAATTAGGAAGATATAATCCAAATGTTGTGTATAAATATTCCGTGTAGCTGAAATGTATTTTAGACCAAATTAGACATGTTGAAGAATGTTAAAGAAAATAGAAGGTTTTAGAAGGGTTTTAGAAGAGGAAGAAGGGAAAGAGGAACATATACATATTAAAGTTTATCATGGTAAGAGGATTAAGTAGAAAGGATAAAAAAATATATTGACATTTTTATATTTGAAGGCTACTAGGTAGAGGTAAATTGTGGAAGATATGGACAAAAATGGGGTTGAAAAAAAAGAAAAGAAAGTTACAAAAGAGATATACCAAGAAACAAGACGTAGGGGAAAGATAGGAAAGAAAGTACTAAGTACGTTTGAGGCAACGTAGTTCCCTGAGTCAGACTGTGTTTAATATCTTCGTAGCATATTTGGAGGGCCGCACGGAAAGAGGTCAGGAAGGAGTGTTTTTTGGAAAGCATTAGATATGGTCTCGAACCTATGTTTACGATGTAGCGTCTATTACCAGTAATAAAAGGAGGATGAAATATATGTTAGAGAGATTAGATACATTTTTGGAAGAGAGGAATATAACGTTAAGTGTAGGATAAAGTATACAATTGTAAGTATGGAAAGAGGAGAGACGAGAAGTAGATGGAAGTGTTTTTGAAAAGAGAAAAGGATATAGCAAGTTAAACACAAAAAAATTGTAGGGTATGTGCTCAAAGAGAATATAGGAAATAAAGTCATATCAAAGAGAACATAAGGAAAGGAGTAGTAGCGAGGAGGCAAATAAAGGAACAATAAATAGAAGATTCATTGCTAAGTGGGATAGGATAAAGAATATTTAAAGCGTGGTTGGAAAAGTTTTGCTGTGAGAGATGGAGATATAGGGATGGAAGGAGAGAATGAAACTGGAAGGATACCCAGAGAAGTTTTTAAGATTGTGTATAGGTTTAGAAAGACGAACACCGAGTTATATGGAAAGAGCTGATGCGGATGGGTGAAGCTGAGCGAGTAAGCACGCTATGGTGCGCTAAGATATGAAGGTTTAGTGGAAGGTTGAGGAGACAGCAGAATATTTGGGTTGTGTTGGGAGGAAATTAAAAAAAATGAGCCATTTGAATTTATTAATTTGGGAAGAGAAAAGACAAAACATTTACATGGATAGGATAACCTGAAACATGATGGAAGTAATAAGAGAAGTTTGAGATGAAAAAAGGTGTATTAAGAATGAGACAAATACAATGACAAGAAGCATACGAGAATATTACGACATTCAGATATAATACGATATATAAGTACAATTGATCTGGGGGAGGTTCCTAGATACCAAACTCAGACTACTTGAACCTGTTAAGTAGCCAATACGGATTGATCTTTAACTTCTTTCGCCCATGGAAAAGTACACTGGCATGAAACAAACCACGCTTCTCCGTGCACATTTACACGGGATCACTTTCTTCTCAACACGAGTTTCATTCGTGTTTGATAACATTTTATGAAATCACAAGTATTCGATCAAGATCTATTCTATATGCGAGTACTACTTCAAGATACTGTCAGCCGATAACGACATTCTCCTAAGTGTTTGTAGGAGTCTCCAAGATTACAGAAGATATCAATTAAAAATAAAAGGGGGTGTGGTGTAGGGCGTGTTAGCAGTCTACCTCCGAAAGACACAATGCAAGCGTTCTCCGCTCTGGTCCTTGTAACCCTGCTCGCCGTGGGCTGGGCCCAGAAGGACCCCAACTGGACCGAAGGGCGAAGCACCATCGTCCACCTCTTCGAGTGGAAGTGGTCCGACATCGCCCAGGAATGCGAGCGCTTCCTGGGGCCATACGGATACGCCGGTGTGCAGGTAATCACAAAAATATGGTCTTTATTAACAACTGACATGTTATTTGTAAATGTCGTAGTATGTCAGTTACAAATAACATGACATTGTAAATGTCACTATGTACTTTTTCGGTCTCTGTAATAAAAATTTGCTTGATAGATTATTTTAAAAAATGTACACATAAAGTGTCGTCATATTATAAATTCTTTAATAAAAATAAGTAATTTTACGTAACTATGACGGCAATAATTTATGTTTAATTCTACTTTAAAAGAATTAAGAACTTTTCGACGAAAGAAAAAAAAATATACATTTGGAGCAATAGTTTTCAGCACGTTGAACATTAGTATTCCAGCAAAAAAACTAGAGATTATAGAGTTTGTTGTAATTCAATCATAGAGCCACTCAACATTCATACAATAGTTGACATAATCCTCTAGTAAACACAAACTAGTAAAATTATTATTATTATTATTATTATTATTATTATTATTATTATTATGTTAATTATTAAGTCAACCTCTAGTTTCCGTTAAAAAAGAAGAATTTGGAAATATGCACACAATACGAAATATTGAACTATCATTTGTTAACGCTATGTGAAACGTATACAATAGGTATTCAACACTTCATGAACCGTTATTTCATTTCGAAGATTTCATTTATACGTAAATGCGCCGATTGACGCCACATTTAATATTTTAGCTTCCAGTTACACAACTCATCTCTTTACAATACTAAACATATATTCTTAAAAGCCAATCTCAAAAGAATGCATCAGAGCAATTACAGTTTCTATCTTCAAAACAAACATAAAATACATGCTAAAATACTTGCAAATAGATTAATATTATATACAGTGTCTTGTAGGAAGAGCAATCTCGAGCCCGAATGAGACGATCCTATTCAAACAATGTATTTTCATTCAAAACATTGTGTATAAGACAATATAATATAATAGGAAGACATATATTGTTTATTGACTATTGCAAAGCATTCCATTTAGTTAATAGACGAAAATTATGGAACATTACGGAGACAAAGGAAAGTAACTCCACCCTCTTAGAACTATCGTGTTTATGTATTTAACGACAACAATAAATGTAAGATTAAAATTCGGAGCTATTCTACAGGAAACTACACAGATATACGTTAAAAAAGTGTTGTGTCACCGACAAATTTATAACTTACGAAATTTGTATGGTAGTGGAAAAACGGCTTTTGGATATTAATGTTGTAGACAATTGGAAAAGAAAAAAATGTTCAAACTTTTATTTTTGCTGATAACCAAGTTGTAGTTTCCGATCAAGAAAACTTACAGAGACTTATCGAAATAATATAAAGTAACAAAGTCGTATAATTTACAAAATCAACGAGCACAACCAAGTAATTGCATTGCAAGGTCTATAGCCTTCAAGATGTTAACTTGCCGTGGAAGAAAATAATAGAAATAGTACCTTCCGATTTCTAGAATCTTCTAGGCATATCTTACCTCGTCAAAGCGGAAAGGACAGGAAAACTTCACGATTTAATTTGATGTGTCGCACTATTAACCAATTTCTCAGAGGTAGAGTTAGGAAGAAAACATTGCTTATTTTTTATAAAGGCATGCCAGTGACCTGTGAATTACATTAAGTAAAAATTTGACCAATTCTAGAATTGATAATAGAATCTAAGCAGCGGAAATGATATTTTAACTTCATTCATCAGGTAATTGTCAGGAGTAACAAGAAGGGTATCTATATTATATATTATATACATATAACTCTATTATGTATATTATTATTATCAATATTATATATCCAGAGAAAACATAAATATCAAAAGAAATATAGATCGTCTATTTACAAATTTCTACATCCACTGTTCTGGAATTCACAAAGAACTACTATTGAATAAAAAACAAAAAAACGAGGATTCGATTTTCTTTCGAGGATTAAAAAACGTATGTATTCAATTATAGACCTCCCCAGCCAATGAGAACATTGTGCGGAGTGGCCGTCCGTGGTGGGAGCGCTACCAGCCCATCTCCTACAAGCTTGTATTGCACTGACGTTTAGAGTAAGTGTGTTTATAGTAAGGATAGAGGATAGAACAAGGAAGAGGATAGAAAAGAGCGTGCGCTCATTTTGTTTAAAGTCGTGTTCGCGGCCTGTATTTTATCGGGGGACACCTACCGGAAAACTTACTTGATTGGAGCGAGCGTCTGCCTATAATTCTCTTCAGGCCGGGTTCTACACTCGATCTCTCTATCTAGCTAATCTACTATCGGAGGACACGTATCCTAGGACCTTCCTGGTCAGGTTACTGCCTCGAGCTCCAACTCTCCCGATAAATTTAGTCACACTTTGTATTTACAATTATTTTCACAAAAACGGCTAAACTGTTTTAAAAAAATCCTCGGTAATTTATCGGATGTATTACGAGTGATCGTAAAATAATTATGACTTTTCAAATATCTCACATGATAAGAGATTTTTCTTACTAAAATCTTTTTGAATACCTTATATATTTAAAAATTGCATGTTACAATTATGTAAAAAATAGTAGTCAGCGGTATTTTCTGCTGAATTACAGAAATAATTCAAAAACAATTGCTCAAAAAAACTCTCGATAATGTTTCCCTTACTATTCAGCGGTCATGCATAGGGCCTAAAATTAATGGCCGTTTGGATGTTGCTTGTTTTTTATTTATGAAAACTCTAATAATGTTTGGCTGTTTGCTTCTGACGAAAATTTTTCTATAATATATTCTTCTATTTTATAACATCATGATGATTTTTCCACGTCTAATCTCTCTTCCACGTTTGATAAAATGTATTTTATATCTAATAACAAGTGACATTCAATAACTCACTGATTCCAAACGATTTATTAAAATATCTTCCATTATGGAAATCTCTTGGATAAAATTGAATAATCAAAATGTGTGTTCTAGTGTTTTGGAAAGTAGAAGACTGTAACTGCGAATCAATAATACACAAATTTCATGTTAAAATCTTTTTATTATAAAAATAAGAACTTCTATGTTATTTACCATTATCTCCCGCAGTACTCTTCGACGATTAAAAGCCGTTTACAGTCTTGACTGAAAAAATACAACATAATATTACTATGGTTAACATATTATGAACAATATTTAATGACTCACAAAATCCTTACTTCACGTCGCGACCTTGACTGGCCAGCACGCTCCTCTTCGGAGTACCCTGATCTTTGCAACTGGCACTAGCTCGTCCGCCTCCTCCTCCCCTACAGTGACGCTTTTTTCCCGTGCAGCTGCTGCTCCGATCTTCAGGCACGGATGATGAGGTCGCAGTACGGTGCCTTGGGAGCCCAGTTCTGCAAGGTCACACACATATGTGATCACCCCTGATCCTACCTCTTCACTCAACTACACCATAACACATATAATATTATTTTTACGCTATCAACACAAATCTACCGGTAAAGAGTCTTTGATCAGGTCGTCAGTTATCCCTTGTTGCTATAGCAATGAAGCCCTTTTTGCCTCGTGGAGAATCCAATTCTCGCGCTCTGTTTCCGCTGTCCACCAATTCGCCACGCTGACTTGACTGTAATCGTTTTCCATTGTTAACAAATGACGTGATTCTTACTATTATTACTTATTTCAATATTCAATATTCATGAATATTGTAGCTTATGAGCGTACATTCAGTGACTCTTGCAAGGCACACCATGTGTAAATCCCTCCATGCGGTGCTCGCACACCCGATTGTCGTTGCCCCAGCTCGCACTGTCGCTATTGATGATCATCGTCCTTGATGTTAGCTGTTGTCTCGTTCAGCTGGTGGACCGCATCCCTGGTATTAGCAGCATAGCTTCGTTAGCTGGTGGTGTGGTTGGGCTGTGGGTGCGCGGGCTCCTTCTTTTTTTATATCCCCCCCAAAAAATTTTCGGTTGTCTCGGCTGTCTGGGTGGTGTGGTGGGTCGGTTGCAGGGTGGGGTGGTTGGGCCTGGTGCCGCCCTAACATAAAAAAGAGTCCACCCTGGGGTTGTGGTCCCGGCCGCTGCTGGGTGGGTGGTCCTGGTCGCCTGGGGGGGTGGGGGGTGCCCGTGGGGTGGGGGTCCCGGACTGGGGGGGGTGCGTTTCCTGGGGTGCGGGCTGGGGGGCCCCCCCCCCCCCCCTCCCCTCCCCTCCTTCTTCCCTCCTCCTCCCCTGCTTGCCCTTCTTTCATTGTTTGTTTATTCTTATTTTCATTTTGTTTCATTTATTATTTTATTTATCTCGCCTTTTGTTTTTATTTTGTTCTTGTTGTCCGGTTTTTCCACTTGCTAGACTTAATTCACTTGCTTGCATCTTTGAGTTTGGAGAATGGTAGATTCCTCCTTCGCTTAAACATGAATCTGGCGCCAAACTACACGTAGGACTTCGCGCGTTTCTTCTTAGGTATCTCCGCCAGCGGGCCATCTCCACAAAGAGAACAGCTCTCAAGCTCACACGATACATGTAGTTGTGCTCATATTGCAAGAAATGTACAATGAATTAAAATATTACTTAGCTGGTCCACCACACATCCAGCAGAATAACGATACGCATATTCTCTGCGAATAGCAAGGACCGACACAACACGGTCTTAATAATCGACACGTTTCTATGGTCCGTTCCAGTGAGAGAAATTACAGAAGTCACACCAAGGAATATTTTCGGGAAACTTCAATTAATCACGTGTCACTGAGAAAAAAGCGCTTGCGGCGGGGGGGGGGGTTGATATCATTGAACAAACTGAATCAAGTGAGAGAATAATGACTCAGTACACGCGACAACGGATATGCGGAGTAGAGACGTCATGGGTTTAGCAATACGAAAAACAAGAATCAAATGAGCAATCAGTAAGTGAGGGGAGGTGGTGCAGCTGGATTATATGCGCGGCGAAGGGGATTAGATAGCCCCAGCGATACAAAAGAGGTGGCTCGAAACGCTGCAATATTAATGAAAAATTTAAAATAAAACAATTAGCCCCTAGAATATCCCAGACCACGCTCAGTATCTAAGACTCGGGTTAGAAAATAGACCGGAGAATAAGAGAGCACAGAGCAAATGGGCAGCGAGGGAATTTGTCACCTTTCTGCCTCTCATAAATTCCGATTCTCCTGCGCACCCTTTGCCCCCCAAGATGGTGCAATTGGAAGCAAAAAATACGAGAATGCAGAAAAATCGGAATCTCTTGTTCACAAATTCTTTCGCGTAACACGTAATGATAATACAATATCGTGAAAGAACAATGTATAGTAGTACCATAGCAGAAGAAACGAATGAATCTGTCGAATGAAATTCCTTTTTTCTCACAAAGTTATGCCATTTCCATAATATATTATTTCTACATAAACAGAAAAAGATAAAAATAATAAACAGTCAAAAACGCCCACAAACTAACCGAGAGGGTAGGCGAATGTAAGAGCGAGA